AGTGTAAAGAGGGTTAGTTATTGGCCGATATCGAGTATTTAATAATAACACAGCGAACGATTTTTATATAGAGATCGTCGCGCGGAAATAGATATTTTTCCGAGCGTTTGTTGCAGAAGCTAGGGTTACCTGCCTTCCGTTTTGCCTTGTTAGGAAAAGGCTAACAGAAGAACGTCAGAGATAGCGGCAACGCTTACGAAGTTAACGTTAAATCGAGTATTATTTTGCTTAACTTGACGGGTAGTGAGCAATATTAGCACCCAACTCTTGTTTTTATCCTGCATTTGTAGTCTGAGACAGAAAGAGCGAGAGGGTTCGTCCATTTTAGCAGGACAACAATGTCTACATCCAACGCCAATTTCAAAAACAAGTGTGTGACACAGGTGAACTGCATCTTTTGTGACAGTCTGCTCTGCACAAGAGGCATGAAAGCAGTACTTCTTGCAGATACGGAGGTTGAGCTGTTTTCGACTGATATACCCCCCAATAGGTAAGTGCTAATCTAGTTAGCAGTACTGCTAACCTTTGTTAATGTCTTCTGTTGTTGCTAGGGCAAGATGTACCGTAGCTAACTGACACCTGTGGTTAACTGTTCATGGATAGACACGATATTAACACCAAAACTAATAGGTATTAACGTTGTTCCTTGCATGACAATGTGAAATGAACGTGGGTTTTAACCTGCCATGGCCATGTTTGTTTCTCATTACACGCACGCTTCCCTAAGAACTGTTGATTTCGTGGCCAGCTGCTATTCTACTGAAAGCTGCAAATGCAAACTGAGAGACATCGCATGTCTCAAATGGTATGTAAAACTCTTCTATGGTACGTAGGGTTTGCTTTAGGAAGACCATCTGCTGATACCAGATGTTAATAAAATGCACAGCCACCACATTTGTCCATCAAACTAGTAGGTCCTATATAGATGTTGTTATAACAGTACACATGTAGAGCTACATCTAATTATTGTTTTCATTGTTGATTTATATAACTATTAGCTTCTCCATTAATCATTTGTCCTATTAAACATCTGAGACCTGAACTGAGTCAGGAAAGACTGCTTTTGCTGTCAGTGCTGCAGTCTTGTGGAATAATATGCAACATCAGCAAAAAAATGAAAACACTCGCACCTTTCTGTAATTTCAAGATAACTCTCAACCTACCCTGTATAAATACATAAGTTCACAATGATATAAAAAAAAACAGCAAATTGTCATATTTGAGAAGCTGAACTGGAGAATACTTGGTATTTTTACTTAAATGTTTAGTTAGCTATAAAAATAGTTATATTTTTCTGTTGACAGTGACAGAACAAATAAACATACGTTTTAGCTGTGTACACTTGTAGTAGACTTGTAAGCTTTTCAGTCTGATATTAACCTAAAGCAGAGTTTGGTGCTACAGTGAGGCTTTTTGGCACCTCTTTTGTATTCCCTGGCTTTTTGTGGTCTTACACAAGGCAAAAGCAAACATCTGTTAGATAATAGACTCCCACTAGTGGATTTAGCACTTTTCAGAAGTGCCCCCAGTAAAGTGCTGACATATGTTTCTCTTTTATTCTCTCTCCCTTCCTCGCCCAGTGGTAATGTGGTGGGCTATCATGTTGTAGCCCCGTGTAAACCCTGCCTTCTTTCCTGTAACAACGGCCATTTCTGGATGTTCAACAGCGATGCTGTATCTACACTCAATAGAGTGGATGCGACTGGTAAGCTCCCCTTTGATGCAACTGTAATTTATTGCAATTTCAGCATGTTGATTGTCTGATCAAAAGCTTTTGTCACCCTCCAACATGTCTGCAGGTGTGAATCTGCTCTTGTGGGGAGATCTTCCCGAGCTGGATGACAGTGAAAACGAAGAATCGACAAGCCCATCAGAGGAGGAATGCATTAGGTAGAGAGGGAAACTGACAATGTGAGAGACCCAGAGCACCAACATTTTAGAGGTGGAGCTAAAAGAGTGCACAAACCATGCTGAGAAAAGAGAAGCCTTAAAGGGTGAATGAACACTGAATCACATAGGGCAGAACAGTGCAGTTGTACTGCTCTGCACAGGTTGAAATATTAATCCACGGCACACGTCTTTCCACACCCTAAACAGTGATGTCAGCGGAGGTGTTTTGCCTTTAAAAGCTGATCGAGAACAGCTGCTTTGACATCAGTGATTAAGCTGTGGCCATAAAAACAACATGCTCCAAAGTTGGAACCCACAGAGGACCGTACATGGGAAGTTTGTTACCCTATGTAATTCAGTGAAGAATTACCCTTTAACCTGCAGCCATGCCTTTCCTCACTTTTCACTGTTAAAAGCACAGACACACACGCAGTTGCACATTTTCTTTTCTTTTGGTATATTTACGTGGGCTATTATAAAATGTGGCAGAAATAGAATGAAAATAACAGCCAGCTAGAGTTTTTAATCTAGTCCTACTTTTCATTTATCTGAGCTTGTGGCTTTGATCAGCCTCATGAGAATTAGGAAGTGTGACATGATAAATCAGTGAATGCGGTGCTTTTTTACACTGTTTACGTCAAGTACAGCTTTCTGAGAAGAGGATCACAATTTGCTTATCTTCTTTTTAATGGCACTTGTACAATAATCTGTACATTGAATATGCTGTAATAAGCAAAACTTCCTATTAACAGTCTTTTCTTAAAGGCTTATTGTTTGTGTGGCCTGGTGCTGACTGAAAGTTTGAGTGCTTTATGAACCCTGTATTAGAGACATAGCACAATTATTGCTTTAGGTTTGATTGAAGATCTGACCTCCTATCAGTGATTGCTTTTCAGTATGCCAATACAGTGTTTGTTACACACTGACAGCAGTATGTGTTTAACACCCAGATAAATCTGACTGTAGCAGTATCCGATACTAACTTATGTATAGGGTGTGCTTCCATACAGGCCTAGAGCAGGTGAATTTTGTTCAGTTTGTTGAGCTCAAATCAGTAAAAAGGTTCCTGGATCAAAGACATAGAAATGAGGTGCACAACCTTTGAACTGGGAAGCATGAGCTGTAAATGGATTTCCATGCTGTTTTTGTTACTTTGTAGCAGCTTAATTGTAGCACATGAAGAGAAAAGATAACTCCAAAGAAATCATGGGACATACTGAACTTGCAGACTGGGTACCCCCTCTAAAAAGAGAGTTTTGTCATTTTGGACCAGTTTATAGAAGAGCATTTCACATTTGTGAGTAATTCATCATAAAGCTCCTAACCTTCAGTGTTCTAATGGCCTTACTGCTCACAGTGACCCTTTGTTAAGCTGTAGGCTTGGGGCTGATGCTGTGTGTTAGCTGGTCCCTGCTAACTGACGAGGTCTTCTCCTCAGCCTGTTATTCCAGACAAAAGCTTCAGCATCCTCAAGTCACAAGTGACTTAAATCAGTCTTTTTTTTTTTTTTTTGACCATGCCATCCTCAAGTGCATGTGCTCACTGCTGCGCCTTGCTAATACTATGATCCTGTCTTAAACATTCTTTCTGTGCCTGTGATGTCGGTATATTGGTCTAAAAGCAGAACATCACTTCTTACCTGAAGGAAAAGGATAAAGGAAGCTGGACTTTTTTAATCTATAATGGGCCTATATTTATATTTTAATTGTGGGGAAAACACATGTAAAGCAGAACTGTCCTAAACTTTACGTCCTCCACCTTTAAAGATATAATTGACAGCTGCTACACTTGCACACCAAATGCTGTCTTATGTGGTGAACTAATAGGGTACAGTGCATCAGCTTGGTATTTATTAAATCCACAAACCAAATATCTATAACCACACATTTCCTTTTTGTTTACAGACTTTGTTTACAAACGCTTTGCTTTGTATTGTGCTCTAGTACTTCTGTTTTTGTTCATGTATTTAATATTTCATTTGTGATGTAATGGTTAGTTTTGTACATTAAAAGACTGGATATGTACAGTTTTACCTCAATAAGGTATCTGTTGTGAGCTTCCTCTGGCTAGGATACTTGTCAAATGATAATCAAATTAATTATTTAAATGGCAGTTTCTGATGTGAATAACTTGTTAACATGCCCTGCTGAAGATGTATATTTTGAAATTGCACTGAAACTGCTTTGGTAGTTTGACGATTTGTTGTTTTGTATGCTTGTTAAATTAATAAACTTTTTTTTTTCAAGATATCTTGCTTTTTTTTTTTTTTTACTTTTGCATCTTATTTAGATCCCCATTAGCCAAAGTCTGCTACCTATTACAGAAGTTATGCAAATGATCCATATGCTCAGGTTAAACTACAGAGCATCATGGAAGTTCTCGCAAATAATATTTGTATCTTCATTTAATTACTACACTTCATCTCACTGTAGTATAGACAAAATCTTATGTGACACTGCTGTCACAAAGGTATCTTGTACTTGGTTTTCCACATCCAGTGCAATCGTTGGCACCTGACCCTGAGTTCTCTCTAATTTACACAGCACAAAAGACCATCAACACTGATAAATTCATCAGTCAGTGAAGTCAGTTTTATTTATAGCAACAAGATTTTTACAACATACCTCACCCTCCATCCTTGGACTCTCAGGTTGGTAAAGGAAAAACAAGGCTATTACAAAGAAAAAAAGAATGGAGAAACTTAAAGGTTCCTTTTCCAGGATGACAGGTGTGAATTAGGTACCATATATAATGAAATAAACCAGTAAAGTATAACAAATGTAATAAAGGGTTTAGGTGTAATATTCCCAAATTCTCCCACCCAACATCTGTATATTAATCAGATGTTCAGTACATCATTTCTAACTGATGCTATCAAAATCTCTCTCTTTCAAGAACACTGTGAGCCTCATTGTGGTGTTTGAAATACTCTATATTCACTAGTGTCAGCACACCAGGTGAAGTAAGAAGGTTCCTTTTCCAGGATGACAGGTGTGAATTAGGTACCATATATAATGAAATAAACCAGTAAAGTATAACAAATGTAATAAAGGGTTTAGGTGTAATATTCCCAAATTCTCCCACCCAACATCTGTATATTAATCAGATGTTCAGTACATCATTTCTAACTGATGCTATCAAAATCTTTCTCTTTCAAGAACACTGCGAGCCTCATTGTGGTGCTTGAAATACTCTATATTTGCTAGTGTCAGCACACCAGGTGAAGTAAGTAAACATTTACAGTTAGAAACTGGCTAATCTTCCAGCAAAGCTCAGATGTGTTCTTTGTTACTGACAACAATAGGGATGTGGGATTGCATGACTTCCAATTTTATATAGTCATCATTTCTTTTATGAAAACAGTCACCATCGACTATTAGTTAATTGTGTCATCCAAATAAAAAAACGGTTGTAGGCCACATTGTGACAAGTTGTGAAGTTAACGGATCAGTTGTAAGTGGGTATTTTTCCCACCCACCCACACTTTGGCAGTAGTGAGCAAACTGCTGCTTGGCGCACCAGAGCGAGGAAAAGAAGAAGAAGAAGATCCCAAACTATAAGGCTACTAGGACAAGACATATAAATACGTGATTTGTGCCTCACTGTAAGAGTTTTCAAACATCGTGGTCTATTTTAACAAGAGAAAAGAGTTTAAGCATGGCAACTAAGCGTTAATTTTTGCATATGTGCGTGTAGTTTGTTTGCCCATCTCCGTTAAAGTGTAGAGCACAGGCGTTTCCCGACTGTTTGTCAGAGATGTATCCTGGATTGTTTCCCACGCAGATGGTGACGAGGCTACTGTTCCTCCAACTCCCACTTCAACACTCTCATGGCTAATGACTTTTGGACACTGTGGTTTCATCAGCGAAGACAGATTGCACAACTAATATGACAATGGAAATGGCGTCTCCACCTGACTAGACAGTCGGTTTGGAGTTGACCAGGTTTTCCAGGCGTTGCGAAAGCCTCTGACTGGTGTGGCATCGGCAGCCACTGCTATGTCAGGTGAGGCAGTTGGTAGTGATAATCACATGGTCAGGGAGTAGTCGACGTCACATTGAACAGGTCGACTATGCATGGTACGGTTGACTAGTCACTGCTCCACTAATCTGTGCAGCCCCTAGTTTCTATTTCTTTGGAATTTGTTTACATTAATGCGTTATGTATACATATAATCATCACCTTTCCTTTTAAGGAGACATTTTAGCTGAAAATGTGAGTCATTCTTCTCTTTGGAGGTGAGCATTTTCCTAATGTAATGACATTTTTGTGCACTGATATGAGATGGATTTTGGTTTCTAATCAGGAGGAGACGTTAAAGTGATATACTGTATATTGTAGAAGTACAAAAAGAAACTGTATTTCAACCTACAATATGCATACATTCTCAAATCTGGGGAAAGTGGCTGCAATTTGTTATTGAAGAAAAGCACATTCTCATTTTGGAATCTTTACCTGTGGGGTTGTGAACCTCCATGTGTACAGCAAGGAAACGAGTTCCCTTTTTTGAAATGATCTGACTGAAGTTCAGTAATTTGTCTTTGCATACTTCCTTCTCCACAATTCTCTGCTGGTGTTGGGACATGTACAGAGCAGTTAAGGTAGGGTGGGCGAGAAAAGTCAGAAACAAATAGTTGTGGCTTGCTCTGTTTTCACATGCTTTTGTAGCATTTGCACAAATTACAAATCATGCCCATACAATATCAACTTTGTGTGTGTGTGCGTCATATACTGTACCATTTCACTGACTGTACATTTCTCATAGACCTCCCCTGGAGATCTCCAGAACTAAAGAGTCAGGAAAAACTGTGCTTTGGAATCCAAAGCAGAGGACATCCAAAGTGTTGATGTTCTTTCACTCGCCCTCTCCTTCAACGCAGGTACAGGAGGAACTATTCCTTATTAACAGGAATTATTAACTATTCCTCCTCCACTCCTCCAATGTGGAGCCTAGATGAGAAACACCTAGCTAACTGTCATTTTGCCCTTAAGCCAGTGGTCAACAAGAGAAGACTGGTTGTTCTGGACAGCTTCCAGGGTGTGTGTGTGTGTGTGTGTGTGTGT